GCTGAGCCCCTGCTGTGTGCCAAGCACACTTGGCACCTCTCCCTGCAGCGTAAACCCAGCATCAGCCGGAGTCACCCAGCCAGGCAGGCCCAGAGCTGGAACTTGACTCCCACCCACGTGGTCTTATTTCTTACTCCCTCCTGCCACCTGGAGGATCTCTTGAGCTCCCATTTTGCCGGATCTGGCAGTCCCCGAAGGTAGGTACCACGGGTATCTCCATGTTAAGCTTGTGGAAGCAGACTCAGAGAAATGAGGTGACTGGCCCAAGGTCACCTCACTGAGAAGTGTGCCCCCACCCCCACCTGCTTTCTAGCCTCCGGGGTCACTTGGCTCAGGGCCGCAAGGGTGATCGTCACCCTCACACCGACCCTGGAGCTGCCACCTCTGGCCTCCTGGGAGTTCCCCAGTCCCGGAAGTCAACCCCTGGGACCTGTTCATCTCTCACAGCGGATGGAGCCTGACTTGCCACTGGGCGATGAGCCAGGCGACCAGCATCGTGGAGCTGCGAGCCCTGTGCGTGATTCGGCCCCTCGGACTCATGGGGTCTCAGGGTGGGGTGGTGGGGGCGGGGAGGTTATGCACCGGATGTTGGAGGGCTCTCAGGGCATGAAGCTGCTGCTTAGAGGAGACCAGACCGTCAGAATCTGGCTGGGAGGCCTTATAAGTGCTCACGTTAGCCGCCAGCGCAGGGCTGCCGAGGCCCGCCCCGAGGCGTGCCCCCCTCACCACCACCACCCCTCGTGGATTTGGAAAACGGTTGTAGTGGTCTTAGAACTGGAGAGTGCACAAGGCAGACGGCCAATAAGGAAGCGCAGAGAAGAATCGCTGCCTTTGAATAATGGTGATGGCGCGAAGTATGTGGACTGTTCCAGAAATCTGCCTTGGAGAAGGACCAGCCAGAAGAGAATGCTCTGTAGAAGCCAGGATGGTGGGACTTCCTCTCAGCCCCTGGAGAAGCACATCCTGCTCGGGAAAGCCGAGGGGCAGCGAACAAAGCGGAAGGCCCTGGACAAGATGGATTGACGCTGGCAGCGACCATGGGCTCCGACATGATGGTGGCCCGGATGACGCAGGGCCAGGCCGGGTCACATCCTGTTGTCAAGGTAGAATGTGACAGCAACCATTTAAAACTCATCTACCACCTGCAGGCGGGTACAGCTAGGAGCCCCATTTTGCTGGCGGAGGAACCCACGCTCAGAGAGAGAAGGTGATGTTGACCAGGGGCCTCTGGGAACTTTACAGCGTGACTGAATTCTGAAATCTGAGAGCCGGCTCTCTGGGGCAATGCATTATGGAAACACTGTGAGCCTGAATGATAACATTTTTCCCCCCCGGGTGGCTGAGGGGTGTGGTGGATACCCCTGAAGGACCCCAGTCTATTGCCTCGGAAGTTGGTGACTATCGGCCCCCACAAAGCAGATCTAACACTGCCCCCTCCTCCTCCACCTTAGGCCCTGACTCCGCCTACAGGCTGTTCACCCTGTAACCACCAGAGGCGCACACGTGGAAACAAGCTCATGCCCTTTGTGTTCTGAGTCCTCCCGGGTCTCTGGGTCAAAGCCCTCGCAGTGGATCACTGGGTCCTGCGCATGTGGACGCTACCGTTCTCTCCCACCTCGTTTCATTCTACCTCCAGCCATTTCTAAGACTGGTGGCACTGTGGGTTAAGTGCTGGCATGCTAACTGCAAGGCTGGTGTTGCAATCCCATCACCCACTCGGCCTGGGATAACATAAGGCTGGGGACAAGGCTGGCTGCTCCCATAAAGACCGGCCACTCTCGGAACCCTGGTGTCGGGTCACTGTGAGTCGGGACCCACTCGGTGGCCGTGGGTGGTACAACCACTATCAGTCAAAGTCGACCTAATAACGTCCCCTCCTCTGCCGCCAGCCACACTGCCCTCAGAGGTGACCAGTCCACTTGACCTGCCCTGGCCCCTGCTTACCACGTGCTCCCCTCAGCCCTCTATCCTAGAACCCAGGGCTAACTCAAAGCCACCACCTCAAGGAGGCCTCCCCTCCCCCACCCTTGAAGAGGAACCCAGGTGGGCCCCGATCTCGCTTCCAGGGTCACCTTAACACCATCACTTTGTCCCCCTCAGCCCCCACCCCATCACATCTCTCACCGCCTGAGGACTCTGAGGTTTCCAAGACTGTAAATCTTTGTTGATTTGCCCTGAAGGTGCAGGGGGTTGTGAGTTGGGTTACTACACCCAAGGCCAGCAGTTCAAA